AATTACTAGTCCCCGTTAAGAAGAACAATCGATGGTTTGCTAACAGCCGCAAGTGCCTTGTCCTCCTTTGGCTCAGAGTAAAGCAGGGATGTCACCTAAACCATATCCCAGCCTGTAAAGGTTTGGATGAGCCCCAAGGATCCGTCATGGCACCAGGATATCCTTTTTTGCCATTTTTCTTTTGAGCTAAAAGAAGCCCAGAAATCAATAAACCGACCAGATGGATACATCCATAAGTCCTTTTCCCATGGCCCAGCTGGCTGACCAAAGGGGCTGTTGGGAAGCCATGACTTTTTTGGGGAAAGGGAGGGGCATGCCCGGATCTCTTGCAGTGCTACAGACATTGCATAATCTTACAGACGGCCCCCCCCCCCAATATGTTGCAATCTTGCAAGGGAAGCCCACTCCCACCCACTGGGGAGCAGCTTTTGATCCAGCCTGTGTTGAGAGTTGCAGAGGAAAAATGGCTGGCGCCTGCCCCGCCTGTTTCAATACATATTATAAGGCACCCCCCCCCCACACACACACACAATATACACATACACATGAAGCTGCCTTCTGGTGAATCACACCTTTGGTCCGTCAAGGTCTGTCTTGTCTGTTCAGCCTAGAATTGATTCTCCAGGGTCTCAGGCAGAGTTCACTCACATCACCTCCTGCCTGGTCCTTTTCAACTAGAGATGCTGCTGGGGATTGAACCTGGGACCTTCTGCGTGCCAAGCAGAGGCTCTACCACTGAGCCACTGTGCCTCCCAATCTCACTCCTTGCACATGAACACATGAATCTGCCTTTCACTGAACCAGACTCAGTGGTATCTGCTGAGACAGTCAGCGGCTCTCCAGGGTTTCAGGCAGGGGTCTTTCACATCACCTTTTATCTGGTCCTTTTTAATTGGAGATGCCGGGGATTGAACCTGGGACCTTCTGCATGCCGGGCAGATGCTCTGCCACTGTGCCACACACCATCCCCTGCATGATACAGTGAATGGCTGCTTTTCCTCATACACCAGGCTAGTGGTTGGGAAAAATTAGTGGTTGGAAAAAAATGAATAGTGGTTGGGAAAGAAATCCCATGTTGTTATGTATTGGGACTGAAACACTGCAGGACGCTGCTGCCAGAGACAGGGTGAGCTTGGAGCCGAAGAACAATAGACCAAAAGGATTCTGGCAGGAACCAATCCAGGTGTAATGTTAAATAGCCTCTCGTTGGGAATGGGGTGTGTTTGGGGTGTGGCCACTGCATGAAATATAACCAAGCTGAGGCCCTGGTCTACAGACTGTTCTTGCTGAAATCACTGACTAAAGTAGAGCTGATCACTCGACTGGGAGTCTGCTCATGCATGGAACCCACTTTTTAACACATGCCTATAGACCTCCTGAGTAAATCAGCACCACCTGGAGTTGGAATCTCTTTTTTGAGGGGGGGGGTGGGAGATAGGAAAGTCCAAAAGAGGCCTGGAAAGGACCCTTCCCCCACCCTTTTACTGACAAGGTCAGTTAGAAGCCCCCTCCCACCCTGAACATTTTAATCTCTCACCATTGATGCCTGAAGCAGATCCCTGCAGAGGCCATTTCGAAAGGTTTGGGGAGGATTTCAGCCGTCCCTGAAGGGATTTTTTTAGTTTTTGGATTTTCCTACAAACCCAGGATGTCCACTGACTATGTAGGAAAAACTGTTGGGGAAGAGTGAGTCCCCTGTTGGTGGAACAGCTGCCTGCTCGGGAAAGCTTGGAAAGGTGCCACCACAAGAAAGGCCCTGCTGGGTCAGGCCAAAGGACTTCCAGACCACCTTCCAGACCACCTTTCCCAAGTTACAGTCTTCAAGTATCTGAAGGGCTGTCATGTAGAAGATGGAGCGGATCTATTCTCTCTTGCTTCGGATTGCAAGACTAGATCTCATGGGTGGAAATTCCGAGGGAGTCGTTACGGGCTAAATATCAGGAGAAACCTCCTGACTGTCAGAGTGGTTGAGCAGTGGAGCAGACTAGGTGGTGGATGCTCCTTTGCTGGACGTTTTCAAGCGGAGGCTGGTAGACCATCTTTTGGGTTGTTTGTAGGTATTTTTTTTAATTTTATTTACATGTGATTTCTATACCGCTCGTAACCCCTAATGGGTCTCAGAGCGGTTTACATAGGACTACATCTGTAGTCAAACCTACCTAGGGCCACAATTTTGTGCGGGGGGGGGGTTACCTAACAGCACCCAGGCGGCGGGATCCTCCTCTTCAGATGGCTCGGCGTGGTCTTGGTGCTCCGTGCAGCCGGCGACCATCGGCAGGCTTTATCTTGATGGACCTCCATTGACGCGCATCGCTGCAGGCTGCGGCTGCTGGCTATACGTCCTTATTGGCTCCAGCCGCGCCGCGTCGCCTCGTAGATGCGTCATCTCGACTCCGCCTCCTTCTGCCGTGGTTGTCGCCTCCTCAGTCCACCAGATGCCGCCATGTTCTTTTTACGCCGCTGCCTCCGTGCGCCTCTCGCAGCCGCTCCTTGCCATCGCCGCCGCTGCCATCAACACCTCCTGGCACGGAACCAGGAGGGGGGGTGCCCCCTGCCTCTAAGACAGGTACCCATTTCTCTACTTGATGTTAATTTTGAGCCGCTGGGTTGGCGGGAGCTGGGACTAGGGGCCGGAAGCTCACTCCGGCCACGGTGGGGATTCGAACAGCCATTATGGCTGTTCGCTATAGTTGTTAAAGCCACTGTATGTAGGGCTCTCTTTCGGCTCTGCTCCTGCAGAGTGCAGGGGGTTGGACTAGATGACCTGCAAGGTCACTTCCAACTCTAACATTCTATGATTCTATTACCCCTCACTTTCCGGAATCTCCTCTGAAAATTTAGCTGGGTGGACACCCCCAGCTCAGTTCAATCCAAACTCAAAAGCAGGGAGTGAAAATGTTCGCTTGAGCCCCACCCACCTTCCCAAACAAAGAAAGGGGTTTATTTTGATTCTCCCACGTTCTACAGAACGGAGGAGTGGAAAGCAAAATGCAGGATGGCACCTGCCAGGCAGACGTTTACAAGATGATGCATGGGATAGAGCAGGCGGAGAAAGAGGTACTTTTCTCCCTTTCTCACAACCCAAGAACTCCTTGTGGGCACTCCATGAAATGGCTGAGCGGTCGGGTTAGAACGGATAAAAGGAAGTCCTTCTTCACCCAAAGAGTGATTAACACATGGAATTCACTGCCCGGGGCGACGCCATTTGAGGGGAAAACAAAGAGTTTTCCCCTCAAATGGCATCATCCCGCCCCAGCGTGTGACGTCACTTCCGGTGACGCTCCGGAAGGGCGCAAGCGCGCGTTGCGCGTGCGCACACATCCCCGGCCGGCTCCCGGAGCTACAGGATGCTCCCCCGCCGGTAAGCTTTTTCGATTTGGCAACCCTATGTTCTTATGACGTGGCATGCCTCCCCTGCCCAGCTAGTGCAGAGACAGATCCCCCCCCCCACATCTACTGGCTGACTCTCAAAATATACAACTACTGGAACCATCCTGAAAAGAAACTCTTCAGAACTCTTACCCACACACATACACACAACCCACAAACCCCGCATGGCAGGAGGAGCCCATTTGGTGTAGTGGTTAAGTGCGCGGATTCTAATCTGGGAGAACTGGGTTTGATTCCCCATTTGCAGCTGCTGGTGTGGCCTCGGGTCAGTCACAAGTTCTCTCAGAGCTGTTCTCTCAGGAGCCATCCTCGAAAGAGCTCTCTCAGCCCCACTTACCCCACAGGGTGTCTGTTGTGGGGAGGGGGAGGGAAAGGAGACTGTAAGCCACTCTGAGACTCCTTTGGGTAGTGAAGGGCGGGGTATAAATCCAATCTCTTCTTCTTCTTCTTCTATCCTAGCCCATCTTTCCCAGCCTCACCTGGACTCTCACATGAAGCTCCCTTCTACAGTAGCAGACCACCAAATCAGGGTCATCTACTCAGACCGGCAGCAGCAGCTCTCCAGCGTCTCAGGTAGAGATCTTTCCCATCACCGTCTCCCTGGTCCATCCAAGTGGAGATGCCAGGGATTGAACCTGGGACCTGAGAACCAGTTTGGTGTAGTGCTTAAGTGCGCGGACTCTAATCTGGGAGAACCGGGTTTGATTCCCCACTCCTCCACTTGCACCTGGCTGGATGACCTTGGGCAAGCCGTAGCTCTGATAAGAGCTGTTCTTGAAAAAGAGCCGTTTCTGTCAAGAGCTCTCTCAGACCCACTGACTTCACAGGGTGTCTGTTGTGGGGAGGGGAAGGGAAAGGAGACTGTAAGCCACTCTGAGACTCCTTTGGGTAGTGAAGGGCGGGGGATAAATCCAATCTCCTCCTCCTCCCTCAAGTTGGATTTAGCGGGAGGCAGGCGAGGGGGTGGCCTCCTCGGGAGCCGTTTAAGGGATTTGCTGGTCTAAACAGGAACCCCAAAGGAAAATTCAGCCTCCTAGTGAGGGAGACCGTGGATCCCACTTGTCTAGCATTGAGGGAGCCTCTCCCAGATGCCAGGCAGGGGCCTTCTCCCTGCAGTGTTTGGAGTTCCTTTTTAACGGGAGAGGGCCAGGGGCGTACTCGGGACCTTTATGTATGCACCATGGTCAACATCTGAAGCAGCCTCACACCCAATCAGACTGGTGGCCCTGCACCGCTCCGTCAGATCTTGGGCAGACGCCAATCCCCGCCCAAGTCTAATGAAATGAGTGGAGATGCAATTAATTCACCCGGTAACAATGGTGCAACAAATACTCCTATCTCCCGCCCACACTTTTGAATGATTGATTCCCAGATTTAATCCTCTCCTTTCTCCCAGACAGGATCCTCCTTGCATCTGCCCCCTTCACATGCTCCCAGCTGGGCCCGCAGAGCAAATGAGCTTCAGGTGGCTCAAGAAAGTGAGCCCAGCCACATGCCCACAAATCTCAACGTCGCTCATCTTTGTTCAGGCCCTCCACAAATCCATACGGAGTCATGCCTCCTCCTCCCGCCCCACCACGCAGAGAAAGCCCTTTGGAACTCTCCCTTACCTTCTATGGGCTTGGGTACAAAATGTGAAGATGGTTTGGTCTTTTTCACCCGGTTCCCCTTCATGATCTGCCCTTCTTTATTGAGTCCCAAGAACCAAGCTCTCCCGGTTTCCTGCTGCCGGTACAGCGTGGAGGAATATATAACGTAGTAGTTCTCAAAGACGGACTCCTTAAATTTGCACTCTGGTGTGAAGATGTCCTGCAGGGAAGGAGGGGGAAAAGAGAACAGAGAGGGATTAATTGAAAGTCACTTCAAAGCCAAGAGATAGTTTGTGTTCCTCTGACTGCAATCTCTTTAACATGAAATGGAAGGAAGAACCAGCCTGGAGCCCTTCAGGGCCTTCTACGGAACAGCTGCCTGCTCGGGAAAGCTTGGAAAGGTGCCACCACAAGAAAGGCCCTGCTGGGTCAGGCCAAAGGACTTCCAGACCACCTTTCCCAAGCTATAGTCTTCAAGTATTTGAAGGGCTGTCATGTAGAAGATGGAGCGGATCTATTCTCTCTTGCTCCAGATTGCAAGACTAGATCTCATGGGTGGAAATTCCAAGGGAGTCGTTACCGGCTAAATGTCAGGAGAAACTTCCTGACTGTCAGAGTGGTTGAGCAGTGGAACAGACTGCCTCGGGAGGTGGTGGATGCTCCTTCGCTGGACGTTTTCAAGTGGAGGCTGGACAACCATCTTTTGGGGATGTCGTAGGTATATAGGGCTCTCTTTCAGCTATGCCCCTGCAGAGTGCAGGGGGTTGGACTAGATGACCTGCAAGGTCCCTTCCAACTCTTAATGTTCTATGATTCTATGAGCACTCAGCAGACGGGGGTGAGGGTCTCTGGGCGTCCTTATCCCTGCAAGGCTAAGGGATCTTTGTCCCTGGGGAGCAGACTGTCTGAAAGGGATGTGCAGAAAACTCCCCCCACCCCACCCACACACACACACAGTATTCAGGTCAAACTATGCTCTCACATTGGCAGAAGTGGTAATTTCACCAAGAAACTGAGTCACCGCTTATATTTTAATAAACTTGCAGTCCTTACAGGAGCATTTGAGAGAGAATGAAGGGCTGTGGGGGAGGGGGGAGGAAGGTGTCCTTTCCATTCCCTGTGACTGGAACACGCCTGGACCAAGGAAACTTCCAGCTCTGTGCCCTGCGCCTGTCTGTTGTCAACTAACCTAAAGACGTGAGCCAGGACTCCCAAAAACTCCTCCCCTGCCACATAATCTGTTAGTCTTGATGGTGCTGCTGGACTCTGGCTCTTTTCTACTGCTACAGACAGACTGACACAGTGACCCATCTTGATCCATGCCAGATATGTTGCTGGTTTTTCTGGCTGGCCCATTTTTGCATGCCAAAGGGGGGAGCTCCCTTGAGGTGCCTTAACAGACAGCTTCTTTACCGTCTGGTTTTCGGAAGGGGATTAGATCCAGGGGTCATTTCCTGCAGGAGCGCACAGGAGCAGAGCTCTGGCAGTAAAGACCCCAGGGGGCGGGCACATGCAACAAGCCCCGCCCCCTGCTCCCAGCAGCCCTCAGTCAGAGCAAGAAGCAGCCAGGTAAGTTGCAGAGCCAACAGGTCCACAACAGTCCAGTAGCACCTTTAAGACCAAGTTTTATTCAGGTACAAGCACTCCCTCCTCTGCAAGGACAGATCTGCAATTCAAAACAGTCCAGTGGAGCCTGAGCGGTGGGCATTGCCTTCTGACACACTTCTGGTGATGTCAGGGGGTGCGGCATATGCAAATAAGTTATGCTAATGAGTTATACTAATTTGCTCCTGCACCTCTTTTTCTACGTAATGACCCCTGCTTAGAACATCCCAGTTTTGGTGTCCACCAGAAAAAATTGCTAAGTGTTTCCCGAGAACCTCAAATATATGTTGGAGATGTAGGAAAAATATAGGGTCATATCTCCACATTTGGTGGAGATGTGAAAAAATCCAATTTTTTTTGGGGAAAAAATTAAAATATTCTTAGACCTTCTAAAAACTAATATCCTGTTAATTCCTGAAACATATTACTTAACATGATACCGGACACAATAAAAGAACACAACCATATAATTACCTATACTTTAACAGTGGCCAAAATATTGATAGCAAAGCGTTGGAAAACTACAAGTATGCCATCTATAAAAGAACTTAAGTATAAAATCCTGGAAGTTGCAGAAATGGACAAATTAAACATAGAGTTACAAAATAAATCGGAAGAACTTTCCTGGGACAGGTGGAGAATAATTTACGACTGGCTGAAGATAAAGAAGAGAGTTTGAATATGAATTTAGGCTAGTTAGAAGAGGACAATGTTATAGAAGATAGAAAAAATGTTATGTTATGAACTGTATAAGGGTGGGATGAATATGCGGAATGAAAAATGGTAAAAAATTGAAAAATAAATTAATAATAAAAAAAAGCACATCCCAGTTTTGGTCATTGCTTGGAGATCCCGGGCCAGAGACCGACCGGGCGACCCTCTTTTTGCCCTGCAGTTGGCTACATACTAAGGAAGGGGAAGCAACAGGATTGAAAGTTTGGGTGGGGGGGTGG